CCCCAAAACCCCAAAACCCCAAAACCCCAAAACCCCATAAGGACAATATTTAGAGATTTATAATTATTCTTAAAGATATTAAAAATAGAAAAACATTTCTTCTAATTTAAATAGTCATTGAATCAAAATAACAAAAAATAATATAATCTTTTCATTGCTATGAGACATCTAAGCATGATTTTTGGCTTAATCACAAAGAAAATATATATCATAACTCTCGCGTTTATAAATTATTCCTTGAAATCAATCCTAATTACTGTATAAAGCTAGCTGCTTAAAATTTTCATTAATCACTGTTCTAAATCATTGATCTCTCGAGGACCCTTCTTTTGTCTTTTATTCCCACGAGATGTAAAGAACTTCTTAATCTTAGCCTTGGTAAATTGTATCTCTAGGGGTTAGTTATTCTAATCATTGTTAAACTCCAAATTATTCTACATTATTTTATTGCGACCATCAAGATTTAAGAAAGTGTTTTCAATTGATATTCCTGGCATAGTCTGATTATTTTAAGCTGTAAATTAAGTGTTATTTTTAGTCTCCGTGTTTTCCTCATCAGTTAAAACTTCTTTATTCTACTCTTCCCCAATATACTTATTTGCTTACTAACCCTTTTAAAGCTGTCTTAATGCATTTTGCTTGAATTTTTCTTTGCAAAAAATCCAAACTATGATGTCACAAATTGTTACGCTACAGCACTTAAAGCAAAAGAAACAGAGTACTACAAGACCCACAACTACAGCTATAATTGCTATAAAAAATGTCCATTCAATCTTAACGGCTTCAGTTTCTCCATTATTTGTAGTAGTATTTGTTGAATTTGATTAGATTTCTGACTGCAGATATCAAAGCGCAGGTGTCAACTAATCAACCACTAATTACATCTCAATAAAGATAGATTCAGATTAGGAGTTATATTGTTTTACCATATTATTGCGATTTGTATTTTAATTGCATTATTTCCAAATGTCCTTTGATCGTTTATTATTTCAAATATCATACTTAGCTATATTGATGGAAACTCGGGGTTTTGGGGTTTTGGGGTTTTGGGG